AATGTTTTGGTTCATATTTCCATATGTTGAAAAACATATCATTTGATCATTTTCTGGTGAATCATAATTAAATGACGCATGACAACTAACTCCAATATCTAATTGTCCATTCAAATTAAAATATACAAAATTCATTACTTCTATTGTTTTAGGATAATTTTCTGATGTAATAAATTCCCATGGTAAATTTATTATCCATTTATATGTTTTAAAATCTGCGATTGCATTTTCTCTTGTTATAGTGAAATATCGTTGACAATATAAATGTGTCATATTGATCTAATTATTTATAGATGAATACCAAACCAATTAGGATGTCTACTAGTGAATCAAACACAATCCATCGAAAACCAGCACGACCAATACGTCCAAGTCAATCAATGGTAAGTGATACTGATTCTAGTGAATCTATAGTAATGGATGATTCATATGATTCATATGATCATCCTCATTCACAACAATTATCTTTTCATTCAGACAATACAAATATAAATCTTTCTTCACAATCAAAAATAAGAAATTATATTAAACTATTTATGAAATCTTCATCAAATTTATCTAGTGCTCCTAGATTTTTAAATTTAGTTTATGTAACTATTCCAATTCAGTAACTGATTATAAACATGGTAATATGTATGAAGCAATTAAACAAGAAGTAAAGAAATATATTGATGATAATGAAACAAGAATAAATGCTTTATTAACCGCACTTACAAATTTTAAAGTTATTAAGGCTTCAATAGAACCATCAATTAATAATATAAATAACACAATCATATCAAAATTAACTCAATTTAATTCTTCTCAATTATTCAATGGAAATGGATTATTTTATTTAATTGAGAATGAATCATCATTAAATACTATTGATCTTTTAGTATCAAATATTATTATTACACTTCAAAGAAGAATTATTATTCAGACAGGAAAATCATCATCAGAGAAAAATCAATTTAATGTTGCTGATTTTTATGGGTCAGTTGGAAAAACAGTTACAAAAGAATATACTGTTGGATTAAAAGATTCAATTAATGATCTTAATGCACTTGGAAGAACAAAAAGAGGGAAGACAACAAAACAATCATCACATAATGAACCAAATGCTTTCAATCTTCATTCTTTTATTTTAGTTTATACTTCATTATCTTCATTAAATAATTATTCTTTCTTTGGTGGAAAAATCAATGCTATAGCAATTGTTCATTTAATTAATGGAAAAGTTATTCCTAATTGTTTAGGAAATATATGGGTATGTGTTAAAGATTGGTCAGAAGAAGATGGTAGATGTGGGAAATTTAATGTTGGAAAACAAAATGTTACATGGTGTGGTGGAAAATATCATCCAGATCCTCTTCATGATGATGATACTTCAAAATATTTAAAAATCACACTTTAATTTTTAATTCAATTATTTTTTAATAACATTAACATCTCCTGTTAAATTATCTATTTTTAATACTTGTTTCTTATCCATTCCTAAATAAAGATAATATGCTACTGTTCCACTTGAATTTGCTGCTGTTTGTCGAAAAATATAACTAAAATTCTCTTTAGAATATCCTTTAAAAATAATAATTGTTGCTACTTGTGTTTTAAATGATGCATTTAAACTTTTCCATATATGCATATTCACAATAATTGTTGTTTTCAAATGTCTTAATCTTGTAATAATTTCTCCCCATGTTTTATCCGCTTTCATCATTTCAAATGTTGCATCTTCTAATATAATTAATAAATGTTTCTCTCGTGCTTGTTTATAATATTGCACTAATGCTGGCATAAATTTCTCATAATTCATTCCATATATTGGTGTTTTAATTAAATCTTTTAATTGTTTAAATGTTTCATCTTCTCCTGCATTTTGTGCTACATAAATAATAGCTCCATATAAATGTTCTATATGATTCATTTTTATTAATTCTTTCAGTATAAATGTTGTTTTTCCTGTTCCTTGTTTCCCTAATACTATATTCAAACTATTATAATAAAAGAAGATTTGATGATGTACTTTTTGTATTTTATTCCCTTCTTTAATTTCTGATAATTTATCTTCTATCATTTCTTCTATTCTATCTATTCCAATCTCATCTTCTTCTTCTTCATCTTCTATACTATTTTTATCTTGTGGATTTGTTTCAAAATATTCCATTCTAAAAATAATTAGTTCAAAAAAGTATTTAAATTAGATTTATTTCTATTCCCATTGAATAGCATAAAGAAGATTAACTCTTTCTTTTAAAACTCCATTTCTAATCTCTTCATTCATTCGATTCTCATTAATCAATAACATTCGTTTTCTTTCTAATTCTTTTCTTAATCTCTCATTTTCTTCAAGTATGTCTATCATTAATTCAATTGCATTATCATTCATTTGTCTTTTAATAAAATGTGTAATCTTTTCTTTATTATTCATTTTATTCTTCTTTGGTTTGATTTCTTCATTTATTGGTTCTGGTGTTGTTGGACATGGTGGAAGCTCTGGTGCTCCTGTAAAGGAACACATTTGTGTACTGTTGTTATCACTAGCAATTGACATCGTTTGTTTGTCATTAAGTTATTTAAGTTGTATTTATATCATCATTTTTGTGTTTCATTTCCTATTTTTCATTCATTTTTCATTCATAACTCATTCATAACTCATTCATATTTCTATATTTTATTACTTTATTTCTATATTTCTTCATTCCTCAATTATTCTTTGCGTCATACTTATGATTTATTCATTCATCAGGGGTAATAAACTCAATTTATTCGACTATTTATTCATTATGAATCTCATTATTTTCATTCATTCATGTCTTCCGTAAGAGATTTATTAATGGCGGCTGCTTGTATTGATCTTGATCCTGCAAATCTTCAAGTCGCCTCTTCTCTTTTATCTCAACTTGTTCTTCTTCTTCCATCAATCACAAATGAGAATGAAAAGAGAATACTAAAAAGCGTCTATTGGAAACTCGTATGGCAAATTAATGCTCTTACTGGATGGGGTAAAACCATTAATTGATTCTATTATTTTTATTATTCTTTATGTTTATTTTCATTCAATATTTAAGCAAAATTTAAATAAAATAAAACTAATAAAATAAAAGAGATAAAAATCATTTAATTATTATTTTATCATTAAGAAATAAATAAAATAAAATTAATTAAATTTAAAAAAGAATTAAATTAGAGAGAATTAAATCTCTCCATTTTGCTTGCGATATACTTCAAGGAGTATATCCCAAGCTCCGGCAAGGCCATCCCGGGCCCAAAAATCATCGAGGTAAGGGAGGACCAGCTTAAAATCAGCTGGAGTTAAATTAAAAACTCCCTCCCTTTTAATGCGGGTTATTATGCCGATTGCAAACCCGCATTCATGAAGCATAATTGAGATCCAATTCGCTGGATCATTTGCGTATCGATGTAAATTATAGAAATAAATCAACTCGGTAATTGTCATTTCACGCGAATAACGATTTATTATTATATCAAATAATTCATATGTATTTTCGTTGAAATAATTATTCAATAATTTATATTTTTCACATGAAGCTTCGGTTATATTGTCATGAATGAGATTATAAACGTTTGTCATTTATTTATGTATGGTTAATGAATCAAACGAAAAAATGGCGTTGTTTAAATATTCAAATTAATCAGAACATAGGGTTTTGATTGATAGAACATATGCTGTATATCATGTTATTTGTCAGAACATAAACATGACATTAGTCAGAATATACCAATAAAAATCATTTATTTTTTAATACAGAATTACATAAAATGTATTATTTTTTATATTCTTTTGTTTTTTATTTTTAAAAAAATAAAATAATAAAATGCAAAAAGTGGAATAAATTATAAAAAGTGTAACAAATTTAATATATTCAAAAAGTGTAAGAGTTATAAAATATCTTTTTATTACTTCAAAAAATATCTATAATAAGGAAATTATGAAAATAACGAAGATATAATACTTCAAAAATACGTATGAAATGAAAAATATACGAAAAGAGATGAAAATAACGAAGATATAATACTTCAAAATAAGAAAATATCTAAGAATAGTTCAAAAATATCCAACAATCGTTCATTTT